CCTGTGCGGCTTTGCTCCTGTCTCCCTGGTCTGCTGGGAGGGGGGGCGTCCAGCAAAGCCGCTGGACCCCCCCAGCAGACCAGGGACACCCGAGCAAAGCCGCGGCTTTGCTGGACCCCCCCAGCAGACCAGAGAGACCGGGAGAAGCTTTTCTCGCCCCGGAGGACATGGGGCGGATCCACGTAAGTCGGGGACTGCCTCTACAGTCTTAAGCATTTCTAGATTATTATTGATAATGAGTTTTAATTTAAATGTTTTAGCAGTAGTAGTGTAGTTTTTTTATTTAATTTTTATTGTTCTATGTCAGTCATAAAAACAAAACCCAGATGACAAACTAAGAAGGCTCTCCTCGAAATTTCTGAGTTGACACTACTGAGCAGAATGGATCCTCCAGTGAGCTTAACCAACTATTTATCATGCAAATACATATTTAGATGAGTTATAAATTCTATATTATTACCAGACTTCTTCTGATGCACATTCTCATTAATACTAGCAGGCAATAGAAAAGAGGGGAAGAGCAGCCCCCTGCCCCCGCCAGCACATTATCGGAAAAAAGAGAACATAAGACGTATTATGTAACAACAGTGAATCTGATATTCAGATAGTTCATCTGGCAAACATGCCACCTTTATAATTCATATTGCTATCCATGTCATCATTTTTAAGAGAACAAGTGTAATAATTAGCCTTAGTAACTGTGGCTAGAATTTTTCAAAGGGCTCAACTTCCATTTAAATACCTAAATAAAAGGCCAGAAAAGTTCAGCATGGTAGGTTCATGTTGGGTGCGATCCTCTTTTGAAAATATGGCCAGAAGTGTCACTCTGGGAACTACTGCATGCTGAGAACTTTTGCAAATCAGGCCCCAAATGGCAGGCACTGAGCACTTGAAAATCTGGCTTTTAATAAAAACACAGAATGACCCAGTTTAAAGAGAGAGAACACAACGTATGAGAATTATCAATGCAAAAATGTGGAAAGATTTGTTAAAAAAAAAAAAGTGAAAATAAATCTAAATTGCACATTAGAGCCTCACAGAGAACATTGCAACAAACTGCATCAATAATCAGAATGCAGAATGCAGGCTAGATGTATGCATATAAACCACAACAAATTTCCTCTCAGCAGCAGAAATACAGACACGTAACCAATAAAAAAAAGAAAGAATAATATAGGACCCAGTGTTTAAACTTGGACACCAAAGTTAGAGCAGGGAGTCATTATAATCCCTCTCTATTGCAGCAGGTTAACTTAGCTGTTTTTCAGTCATATGGGAGCTGCCCCGCCAAAACCAAACCAAAACAAATCCCACTCTCAAAATATACAACAGGGTTACATTTTCAAAACAACTTTATTTCTACACTGAAAATTCATTTGCAACATTCAGCCAGAGCAAATTTTTCTAGATCTAATAAAACTTGGACAGTCAGGCTGATGATTTAAAGAAACCAGTCAATTTTAACAGTAGTGGCGCGAACAGGGGGAACCTGTATTCATTAAATCTTCATAACAAAGTCTCTTTTAGCCTCTCATGAAAAAGCAGGGGGAGAGAGGCGAGTTATGGAAACCTGGCAGTATCAACATAGCAATGTATTATGTTTTCACTTTAAAATTTTATTTAACCTTAATTATTATCAATGCATCCCAGTGCTGAGTGAGGAATATCTAATTGTGCCTAGAGGAAATGAAAACATACTTTGCATTTCTGATGCTCTTTTTAAACAGCATTTTAAAGAATCCCTCCTGAGAGTTTTTTCTTTCAACAAAATCGAGACTGAGCCAATTAAATTGATTTGGGAGAGTAACTTAAACAGATTCTAACCCAGTAATATTTTGATCTCTCCCGGGTTACACCATCTGTTTCTTCCCATAATTCACCTTCTTTCTTGTCTTACTGTAATAGGTTTCAATCTTAGTTAAATTGTGTTCATGATAGGGGATGGATTTTTTTTTAAGTTTTCTCCAAACCTGAGCAGTAAATGAATATGCAATCAACATATTTTTTTCAAACCTCATGTAGAATTCGGACAGTATGCTGCCTTGTTTCATAATCTCCATTTTTTCAGATTTACAAAAGCTGAGGATTCAAACACTTCCACAAAGTGGAGACAAAGCCACAGACACATACAACTCAATGATTGTCCCCTTTCTTGATTTCATCCTTTTCTTCGTGCTGTACCCTTGTGTTCAGCCCTGGTCTTCTTTGACGTTAAACCACTTCCTGTTAGCCAGGTGATATGTACTTACCCACTTGAATCCTTTCTTTTCACAAGCCAATCACTTCAGCCTCCTGATCTGCTTCATCACTCTTCTCTGAATCCCCTTTTAGTCACTTATTTATTAAGTTAAGATCAGCTCATGCCACAGAGGAGCTAACATTGGTTTTTCAAGAATCAGCACCAGACAGCAGTAGTAGCACCCCTGAAAATTCCCCAATACAACTCTTCCCTCTGATGTTGGCTACTATTGTACAGGGGAGGTACTAATCTGCTGCTTGAAGGTTCTTGATCCCCACCTGCACTCCCTGTGGTGAAAGTGATGTGGTTAGCACAGACTGATGAAGTGGCTAGGTTGCTGCATATGCCAGCTTTTTTTTTTTGCCAACCGTGAAGGCTTTTTATGCCTTATTCTTGAAACTCAAGACATTTCCAGGCCCCAAATAATTAATTTTTGTAGTAAAGTTACTTGAATACCAAACAAGTTGATAGCGGACTGGGGGGCAGACTATAAAGTGAACTGTACCTCTCCTATAGAAGGACACAAAGAGAAGTGGATTGTAGACTTGAAGGTGGTCACTTTTTAGACCTTTTCCCCTTTCTGTCATTGACATGCCCCCATAGTGAATACCTCCTTATGGATATAGGGCAAAGGTGGGTTTGCTGTGCATGGTCAAACACTGAAACACTGAGGAAAATTAACTATACAATGCTTTGTCTTCCAATTTATAATTATGCCAGTGGCATTAAAGTCGATAAAGTTAGAGCACAGGAATGGCCGCACAATTATTTCTATCCTTTTGGCTCCAGCACATTCTTGTTATGCCCAGCACTCACTAAAACTCCAGATCTGCTATCTGGGCCTGTCACAGGGTTCAACTCACTGCTATGGTGCCTCCTGCCAGTCAAGGTGGTAATTAGCTCTACTGACTTCCCATGACTCCCTCTACTACTGGGTGTCTCACCACCGTCACTTCTGTCTGATCCCTGTTCGGTTCTTTGTCTGTCCTGATCCCTGGCATCGGCTTTGGGGCACAGCCCTCTGACTGAGCTACAGTGCTATTGCCCCTCCTCTCCCAGGGGAACAGCAACCCACTGTTTTGCCACTTGCCTCAGGAGTTCACTGCAGTCCTCAATCTAGCCTCTTATTCCAGAGGCAAGCAATAGTCTATCCAGACCATTTTCATCACTGTGAAACACAGAGGGGGAAAAGTGGGGGACCGGGCCCCGCCCGCTACTTGGGGCTGAGGCAGCCTCTCACTGCTCATCCACCTACTCTAACACTGCCTGCTTCTCTGGGCCACTTCTCTGCAGCCCCACATCACACGGCCTTTTATCATTTTTCCTGTCTCAAAAGGACTTATCTTAGAGGCCGTGTCCAGACTCAGGGTTTTTTTCGGGAAAAGTAGCCTTTTCCCGAAAAAACTTCCTCTGCGTCCAGACTCAAGCCGCGTTCTTTCGAAATTATTTCGAAAGAACGCGGCTTTTCTTTCGATGGCGGTAAACCTCAATTTACGAGGAAGAACGCCTTCTTTCGAAAGTTCCTCTTTCGAAAGAAGGCGTTCTTCAATGTAAAGAGGCCGTCTTCGAAAGAGAGCATCCAGACTCGCTGGGTGCTCTCTTTCGAAAAAGCGGATTTCTCTTTCGAAAGATCCGCCTGCAGTCTAGACGCGATCTTTTGAAAGAGGCTCTTTCGAAAGATGCTTTCAAAAGAGCCTCTTTCGAAAGAAGCCTGCAGTCTAGACATAGCCTAAAAGAACTGAAAAAGGCAAAACAGTATAATTAAAAGACAAACTTAGAAAGGAAATTATGCCTCATTATTAGACACTTTCTGTTGATACAATTTATCACAAAAAGCCCCACTCTTGGGACATATATTTTTCCTAGATTATATTTGAATCTCCAGAGAAGCAGAGGTAGCATGTTGTTCTTTTGCTCCATAATTCTATATTAAATATTAAGCTAAATATACTTTACTGAAGTGTTTGACTCTTTAAAAAGCATTTCTTGATCATACAAAAGGGGCATACACATCTTTCAGGAACCTTTTAAGACTAAAAGCTACGGGAAGCTCATTAACGATAGATCCAACAGAGTTTAAGTTTCTGATCCCAGGAGACTGCTTCCACTAAGAAATAATTTCCAAGACAAGTTTTTAATGTTAAACTCTTCAAGGTAAGAAGATGGCAATAATTAATTAAATCACTTTAAGCAAAAAAGCCTCAAACATTTTCCTTCCTTATACACCTACATTAGTGACCCCAAAGTAAAGGCTGCAGGAGCCTGTCCATTCCAACCCATGTTTTTCCTACCCTTTGTATCTCTTGAATAAAGACTTCTTTGGGGCTGATCCTTTTTTAAAGCTTATATTTTTTATCCTTTTGTAGTTCTTTTCTTCCTTTATAGTTTTGTAAAACCGTGCTTAAACTAACAGAAATTAGATGGCATGGATGGGAAGAGAATACATATACTGAAAGCCTAAGGAATGTCTCTGTGCTTCTTTGTATACTCTTTCTTTTGATATTTCTATTGTTCCAAGAATATTTTCCAAGTAGGGATCATTCATCTACCATCCACAGCCTCAAAGCTTTAAAATATTTCAGGGTGCAGGGATAAGAATCGTCCCAGAGATTAAATATTTTGGTAAATACTCAAACTGGTAATTTTAGAATAATAAAATATTATTTGAAATATTATAAGAGTGCTCAAAAGCTTCCCAAGCTGATAAACTATACTATAATTTCCTCCCAATTAACTAACACTTATTAATGTTAGCACTTACCCAGTAGAGGGGTTCATGATACAGCCACCTTTATCAGTAGATGCTTTGCAGGTACAGCCCCTCTCCAGCGTATCATGATTCATCCCAAAGTTGTGGCCCAGTTCATGAGCCAGGGTTACTGCTGCACCAAGAGGGCTGTCTGAATGATCCTCAAAGAAAAAAAAAATAAAGAGCAAAGCCCAATTACAAAAATGAATGACTCATAAAAGAATACACTTTTGCTATGGATCCATCTCCAATAACCTAAATTATTTTATAGGCCTCTCCATTATAGCTGCAGCTATATATTGATGCCAAATGGATAAAATTACAAATTATCAATATCCTCCCTCATACCATCAACAAGTCATTTAGGCTGGGATCATCAAAGTAGCCTGTGGCAGCTGGATTCCCAATTCCTTGTGGCAACTAGGCATTCAATTATCTTAGACAGCTTTGACTATGTTCACTTTCTCTCTTCTATAGTTAGAAATTCTCTCGTAACCCTGACCCAGTTTATGTCCAAGAACTTGGACACTTAAACAGAAGTAAATGATTCGCATATATTTCTAAGAGGAGAGAATGGGAGAAAGGGGACAGAAAATTCAGGAAACCCCCGAGATGAGACCGTCTGAGTTGCGACCCCCGCACCCCACTTACAACCATTTTTGTAAGTACGGAAGGGGCCAAAACCTCCCAACTTACGTCCTTGGCCTGCATTTATGACTGCGCACAACACCTATCGTAAATGAGGGTTCGAGTTACGATGCCACCGACTTGCAATGCTTCCCCAGGAACCGATTGCGTAGCAAGTTGGGGGCCGCCTGTCCTTCACTTAAGCAGCTCAATGCCTCAGTGCAGTGAAGAGGTTTGGCTTTGTCTCTTAACATCCCCTACTAAGTCTGAAGCAGAACTTACAGTGGCAATGAGCTCAAGCAACCACTTTACAGGACTTAATTTTTAATTAAAAAAGTAAAAAAGACAAAGTCCTCAGGTAGCCTATAGTTAATTCATATGCATGGCTTGCTTGGTGTAAATGTAAAAAATAGAAACACTGGCACTGATTCTTGTAGGAATGTTGTTTTCTAAAACAAATGTTTCTGAGAAATGCACTATGTGGTTTGATTAGGGGCTACTGATCAGATTAATGTTTTGGCCTGGCCATGAATAAAACAGATCTTTCCACAAAGCTCTGTTCGACATCAATCACTTTCCTTGGGAAAAAAAGCATATTTCTTATAAAAGCTTTCCCAAAAGGCATAAAACATGTAATAGAAATGCATGATCTACAGTTTTATAAGTCAGTAAATGGAATTAGTATGTACAGCTGCCTGCTTTAAAAGCATAAATTAATATATTCAGCTTAAATAACTCTTCTGTCTTAGCCATTCTTAGGACTTAAAAAAAAAGTGAGAGGTAAAAGTGCCCAAAATACCAGTCTTATATAAGAAAAGCCTTTAATAAATTATTTAGTTTCGATTTTATAAATTCCCTTTTCAGCTCTCTAAAGCCTGGTCTGCACTGGACCAGGCAGGTCGGCTTAAGGTATGCCATACAGCTATGCAAAATACATAGCTGGATTCGGCTTACCTTAAGATGAGCCCCCATAATATTTACATGAGCCTCACCTGAGAGGAACCAGGTGATTTTCCTATAAAGACCAGCCAGAAGTTACAGCGGGGGCAGAGGGAAAATGTTTAAGGACAGTGCACATTTCTGGGTTTTAGAACTAAAACTCCAGCCAGGAGGTGCTGGTAGTAGCATGTTCAGTCAGGAGAGACCTTGAGCAAGCAGGGGAGAGGGGACAAAAATTCTCCAGGCTGGGAGACCTGGAAGCAGGAAAAGAAACTTTTGTCTGTTGGAAGTCAATTTGGGAGTTTGAATTTTATTTTGAATTACTCTCTGCAGGGGTGGCCCTAGACTAGCTGCCAGCAACTAGTGCCCTAGGCGAACCATGCAATCGGCGCTCCTACCTCCAAACCCCTCAAGGATATTGCGCCACCATTTGGCACCCCATTTAACTTGGCGCCCTAGGCGACTGCCCAGTTTGCCTATATGGACAGGCTGCCCCTGACTTTCTGTGAAAAAATCTCTACCTGCATGGATCGTTCTCTGGTTACAGAAAAAGTGTGGAGAGCCTGTGTAAGAGATCCTGACAAGGGGGAAACAGATGCAAAGCTCTACATGGTCACCCCTTGCCATGAGGGGGTGCCTGGTAAGGGGCAGCTGATTCTGTTACATATCCCAGCTGTTAGTTTCATGCTCACAGCCATTTTTCTGTACCAGCAGTGACATTCTTAGTCCAGCATCCCCTACAACGATAATTTTAAAATAATGATTTGCACAGACTGTGGCAAAATTAGAGCAAGAAATGATCTGAAATGCAATTACTACAACACATGCGGTTCTCATTACTTGCTTGGATCATTCTGAACGCTATCAGGTTTCTAGAGTGGGCTTTTAAAGACAAAGAATGTGATGTCTCAGCAAAAGAGGTTTTTGGAAGACAGCATAAATTAAGACTATCAAAACAAGCAGTAACATGCCCAGTTTGATAGTGAGACTATTTAAGCTCAGCAGCTCTTGAGAAATGAACAGACTTACGAGGAATGAGGCTTTGATTTATTCCGCTACATTTTTTTAAGTTAAGTTCAGTAGTAAAAGTCATTAGCAAACAGTTTTTACAATCGCCAAACAGGAAATCTTCCCATGTTGAAGACGTTATAGGCTGTTATACCAAATATGCAGTCGCTTTCAACTAAACTCTGCTGCATTCCTTTGAGATACAGCTTGAACATTATTGATAAAAAACAACAACTGTCCATGCAGCTGCAATCTACTACCTCACTCCACTCTCATCAAGTTGCAGAACGGGGATATTTTTTTTTAAATAACCCTTTGCATTGAGGTGTTTCCTAAGTTAATAAATTTCAGAGGCTCAGTTCTGTACTCCTCACTCAAGTGAACCTGCCATGAAAGTCAAAAGCCCAAATGTGTACAGCAGAATATATCTGAGCCAGAAAGCAGCATTTTATCTTTACATTTATGGAGATAGTGAGTGATTACTTTAAATACCAGCCAACAATTAGCATCACACTCAAGCTAGTTGTCATATTTTGACAAAGAATTTTTCTTTTACGGGATACTTATTTTATTCAAATACAACATATAAATCTGACTAAATAAAACAAGGTATGTGTCACATATTTTATGCAGCTATGATGCCTATTGATAAATCTAAATTTTCCCCCATTTTCAGAGGTCTCTTCTGCCCTCACTTAACTAGCATTAATATTCATGGAAATGTGAGCCTCATTCATCACAAAGAGAGGGTATTTAACAGGACAGGAGTTCAAGGAGGCATGTTAAAAGAACCAAAATAGATTAGATACTTAATTAGAATAAGAGTGCAGACAAGAAAATCAGCGGTGACAAGGAAGATCCTTCTCTCTTTTGATATTCACAGATTATTTGGTATGGAGTGACTTCCACCCCCTGTGGTTAGTAGAACTATCCCTTCAATATGGCAAATTGGGAAAACTGTCTTGTGGCCTAAACTTTGGGGAGGCCCTCCAGAACCTCCTTTTCCCTCCGGGCTCCCTGCTCACCAGTGGGCCCCACTGATGAGCAATTCCTTCTCCTGCTCAGCATCATCAGGAAGTCCTGGAGGGGAAGGAAAGGGAGATGATTGAGGGCACTGCATGCTCAGGGGAAGGGGCAGAACTGGGTGAGCAAGAGGCGATGTGGGAGCAGAAAGAGACAGGACCAGGAAAAGGAGGGGCAGCAGCAGAGCAAGGATAGGAAGAAGCATGGTAGAGGTAGACCTTGGGGGAAGAGTTGGAAAGGGAAGGGCCTGGGCAGAGCTGAGGAAGAAGTCCCCAGCAGATTAGAAATTTGGCATTTATGTCCTGGGCCTTGCACCAGACTAGGGATGGCCCCATTCTTTAGAAATGTACTTCCAGAGTGGTGGGAATTCTTTTGGAGTAGGGTACGTAGCATACCAAAGAGCATGTACATGAATATGTGCTATGTGTCAGGGTTTTGAGTACTGCAGACAAGGGTTAGAAATGACTGATTCATTCACCTACACATCCTCCTTTCTGAAGGCTTGTTTTTGGCATATTTCATTTTTATACAGGAATTAAATTGCATGATTTGTGATTTGATTTGGTTGTGGGGGTTTGTTTTGGGCCAACTGTCTGTTTCTCAGGAAGATTTAGCTAAGCACTTAAAAGAGCACATGTGGCCAAGATTGTGCAAGCTTTACATTAAATAGGACTTTAAGTGCTCCCATTCATTTAAATGGGACTCCTTAAGAGTCAGGGTGCTACTCAGACTAGGTCTACACTATAGCCTTTTCCAATTGCTTTTTTGGAAGAGGCTTTTCCATCATTTAGCCCTGAGTAGATAGGGCCAAATGGCGGAAAAGCCTCCTCTTTCAGAGGAGCCCTTATGCCTCGTGGAACAGGGAAAAAAGCGGAAAAAAGCAGAAGAGCAAACGCGTCCCCTGTACGCAGCAGAGTTTTTCTGGGATAGTATCCTGGAAAAACTCCGCAGTCTAGATGAATCCTCAATGTGAGTCAAGCTGCACAATCTGGGCCATGGTTTCTTGGGCATTCATTGCACAACTCTAGAAAACATCAAACCTAATTTATCAGCCTAAAACCCGTAATCCTACAAACATTTTAAAGAGACACTCAGTTGAATAAAGGAATTTATTTTTCATTCAAAGAATCAAATTTCATAGCAAACAAAGTAAAACTTTATATTAAACCACAATGTAACACAGTATGGGATTATGGGGATGAAATATTCCAAAAGAAGAAATCATGGAATTCAGCTGAGGATGGCTCTCAAACTTAGCAGCTCCCACTATACCAATATTCTCTATGCATGTAACTTTCAGCGAAATTGATAATAGTTCTGCATGCCAGTACAGAATCTACTGTATATGCCAAGCATATAAAACAATATTTTAGTTTAAGATCCTTATTTAACTCAACACAACAGGGGATGTTATGAACTGAGTAGCTAGCTTAAGTCAGAATTTGAATTGTTTGTGTTGGTTTCGATGTGTCTTTTCTTTATTTGGATATGTAATTACATTGAATTTATCACTAGAGACAAGTTCTGATAAAGGACAAAATATTCTAACTCATGGATTATATGAATTAATCACATGGCTGGAGTAATGCCCTTTGTGAGAGAAATGTAGTTAAAATGAATGCTGCCACTGTTACTAGTGTAGCTTGTGCTTGAAGTCTGACAATGTAATAAAACCATTATACTCGAAACATGCAAAATACACAAGGCTTTGTAAATGTATATCCATGGTGCACGGTAAATACAGTATTTTAAACTATTACTTCTTATAAAAGATTTATGAGAGTCTTTCATTGCATATAGCACTGGTATCCAAATGTGCATAGCAAACTTGTTCATTTGGATTCTGATCCTGCAAATGTTCATGTGCATTAGGGATGTAAGCGACTAGTCAACTAGTCACTTCCCCTCGTGCTGCCTCTGTATCAGAGGCAGCAAGGAGAGGGAACAGGAGGTGGTGCTGGGGGGAACCGGCTTAAACCGGGCTCTCCCCAGAACTGCCTCCATTGGGGGACAGGAGAGGTAGAAGCGCAGCAGGAGAAACGGCATGAGCCGGGACTAAGAAGTCCTGACTTGCATCGGGTCCCAGATGCTGCAGCTCTGCTTTTTAAATATAGTAAGAACCTGGTGGCTCTTACTACATTTAAAAAGCAGAGCCGCAGCGAACCCTCTTATCGACTAATCAAGTAGTCGATGGAAATTGCATCTACTACTCAATTAGCTTCCTAACCACTATTCAACATTCATAGTGCACATCCCATGGATATAAGGAATTCCAACAGAGGCTTAACTATATTGTAATGGAAAGTATTATTTCATTCACTATGAAAAATGACACTTTAAAAAATTACACATACACAATAGTTAGATAGAGAAAAAGCAATATTTTAGGTTGAAAATACTACTAAAAGCAGACTTTCCACTACAAGAGACAAGTATTATATAACTCATGAAAACTTTTTGCACAAGATGGACCAAATTCAACTCCTGTGCTCCCAATACTTACCATAACAACTCCCCCAGATTGTTCTGCAGTGCACATGCTCATTATAGGTGCCATGCCAATGGTAGTCCCTTGGAAGTATACCCCACTGATGGAGGGAAGGGGAATAGAGAAGAAGACAAACCACAGAATCACCATTTAATACAAAATGAACTAATGCTTGAAAATGAACATGCAGAATTAATACTTTACAACTTCTTTTCCCTCTCTATATTGGACAACAATCTCCATTCACTTGCAGTTAAAAACCATGAGGGTCATAAATTAATTACGCAAATCTGTGGAACTGAAAATGACAGAATCCCGGCTCTATTAAAAGCCGCATTTGAGCTTCCTCTGGAGTTTCTGCCGTAGTAGGACTTTTTCTTATTTTGGAATGCAATATATTACACCCATACCAACCATTGAAAACTGCCATTTCCATTTAACTTGGGAAATGCACTTGCAAACATAGACATTCTTGCAGCTCATGCAGGTGTTAATACAACACAGTGCAAGCTTAGAACGTATTAGTTATAAAGTGTACATTAAGTCATTCATCCAATAGAAATATTTTTGTATATACAGAGCAATGAATGATATTGCAACAATTTGAAAGACCTCCTATTCTACTTTAAGTAGGATACTAAATGCCTCGATACATTTTTGTTTTAATTGCTAAGAGTCATTGCACAGTGAATGTTTGATCTTTCAACTTATTGTTGTCTACTAAATTAAAACAAGAAAAAACATATTCTAGCTCTAGTCAAGAATAAATACTCTCTGTAAAAATAAACTTGCTTAAACTGACTGTCATCATGGCCAGTGAAAGATTTTGTAATTATACCTATGAACAATAAATAAATAAAATCAGTCTAAGGCATATAATTTTTACCGTGTTGTTGTAGCCACGGTGGTCCCAGGATATTACCTCATCCACTTTGTTTCTCTTTGTTAAGCTATCCAATTTCTCATTTTATTTAAGCCACGAATGCAGTATAACCCTTGCATTATGAACTGGAGAGTTCTTAAACATTGAAAAGTTGATAAAATTGAATATCAAAATTACAATAGGAATGGTGCATAAATTGCAGAATAGTCGAATGAATCATTCTATTCTCTCTATCAGACCACTTGTAAAGTAACTTCCAATGTATTGAAGGCAATGGAATGCAAAGGGTTGTCCACTTGTTCTTTGTAGACAACACTTTTGTTATGTGATATTTTTTTCTCTCTGCAAAAATGGTTAGGAAAACTGGTTATTCACAAGGATGGTGTTTCTACTGTATATCCAGGTTCTACTGTAAAAATGAATTTGATGACCTCAACCTAGGTCTAGTGGCAGGGAATGTCTTTTTGTTCTGTGTTTGTACAGTTCCTAGCATACTAGGTCCTGGTCTAGGGTAAGGCCTTTTAGGTGCTACAATAATACAAATAAATAATGATTAATGCAATTAATAATAATAATAATAATAGGAATTTTTAATTGATTTCAATAGGCTTTGGATCAAGTCCCTTGTCTGCTAAAACTGATAAAACCAGGCACCAGTTCTGTGAACATTTACACACATGCTTAATTTTTAGCATATGAGCGGTTCCATTAACTTCAGTGAGATTACTCACATGCTCAATGTTAGACATGTGCTTAAGTGTTTGTAGGATTGTGAGCTAGACATAATTCCACTTACTGACTCTGCTCAGAGGAAGCCCGTGAGTAACTGTTTTTTACAGAACTGTGGAGGGAAACTGACATATCACCTTCCCACACTATATGTAGGGTCCTGGAAAGAGACTGTGATAGAGGGCTGCTTTTTGCTTTAAAAAACACAATCACCCAAATAAAAAGAGAAAAAGAGCTTTGTATGATTATCTCAGTTCCTGGAAACTCCAGCCAAAAGTCATTCACATATTAAATACATTGCTGGCTATACCTCACTAGTTGTGCATTGTCATGGGGTTTACGAGGTAGTAGTTTCAGTTTTCTCCAATCCAGAAACTCATGGAGGCTGGTGAAGGGGTCTTGTGTTATAGAGCACTTATCCATGTCATTCCACACCTCCACTCCAACCAAGGCTACTCGAATATTTAGTGGCCTGTAGAACTATTGAGACAAACAAATCTATTTAGAAGGCCCTGTTAAATCATTGCATTTTAACAAAATCATAATGGTCACATAAGCCTCTCAGAAATCTATTTGGTTCCCAGAAAAAAACTCTCCTCCTAGGATGAAAGAGAAGAGTTCCATGTGTCTCCACATAAACAAACACCTGAAATCACTGGCCTCACACATAACATTGCCACGACCCAGAAAAAGTGATCTGACCATGGCTATCTATCCAGGAAATGTTCAGGAAAAACATTAAAAATCTCAGAAGGCCTCTGTGGTCCTGACCAGGATTGGTATTAGGGATGTTAAATTGTGGGTAATCAAGTAAATGTGTAACCACTGAAAATTTCAGCAGTTACATGGTTACACGTGGGTGTCGTTCAGCTCCAGGAACCTGCGTGTAACTGTGAATGTTAACTGATAACTATGTACACGATTATACTTTCACATCCCTAACTGGTACATTCCTCCAAGATGTAACAACTTCTATACCTATGAATGTCCATCCATACAGATTCATTGCAAGTGAGTCCTAAAATGTCCCTTCATTGTTATGAACAGTGCAATACAACTGGTGGGAATATGCTAGTATAGACTTATAATTAAAATGGCAGCGTCACCTAATGCTGTCATAGCAAGTCTAGATGACAAAGTGGTTCTAATACCAATGGTTACCTTATCTATAATAGAGACCCCACCACTGATGTACTAGTGCTAGCAATGGCAGGAAATTTTAGGAAAATAGGTGTAGTGTGGAGAATATATAGTAGGGCAGGGACCATTCTAGCTGTTGTATGGTTTTCAGTCCAGTCCAAATGAGGCATATGCTGCATCATCGCCTGATTGTATGTTTTGCAGTTATTTGGATAGCAGTGCAATTACCTGAGAGCATAAACTGAAGCCAAAGTGAATATAACATGCACAATTTATTTCAAATAGGTAGCAAATAAACTCCCTTCTTTTTTTACTAGATCAGCAACACAGTTACAGAATAAGCAGAGTTCTTTCTGTCCAACAGCATGTGTTTAATCTAGAATTGCCTGACCTTGAGTCAGAGCCTCTGAGATACTACTAGTTGATATATTCTCAGTTAAATCAGATGCTTTCAATCACAATTCCATTACAGGACTCTCACAGGTTTTTTGAACATATGGCACAGTGTAATAAGCTTTAATCTCATTTTACATGCTGGTTGGTTTGTGTTCAAGAAACTCTTATTAACAGCCTTGAACATTATATACAATGCCTTTCACCCTGAAGAATCCTGGTGCATACAACATATTTCAAAGAAACCACATTAAATGCAAAAAGTCTAGCTCTATATATCATTCCTCTTCCTCAGCTTCAAACTGCCACATGACTCTGCCCTTCCCCACATCTCAACTTTTGTTTTCTGACACTCTCACAACTTGGGATCAATGTGCTGCTAATTTTGCTTTGCTTCTTGCTTCTTTCTAGGGGTATGTCTACACTACAGCACTAATTCGAACTAACTTAATTCAAATTAGTTAATTTGAACTAAGCTAATTCGAATTAGTGCATCTAGACTTAAAAACTAGTTCGAATTAGTGTTTTGCTAATTCGAACTAGAATGTCCACACTGAGTGGACCCTGAACCGAGGTTAAGGATGGCCGGAAGCAGTGCCGGCAGGGCATCAGGTTAGGACTTAGAGCGTGGAGCTGCTGTCTCAGGCTAGCCGAGGGCTGTGCTTAAAGGGACGTGACCCCCACCCCGGACAGACAGTTCTCAGGGGTGCCCCGCTTGCAAAGCAGTCCTGGCTTGGAGTGTCCTGAGTGCCCACACTGGGCACATCACAGCACTCGGCCATCAGCCCGGCTGCACTTGCCGCAGGCTGCCATCCGGAATTTTATAGACCTGTATCCTATTCCCCCTTAGTCATTTTTTAAAGCTCAATAGTTCCAGTCTATTTAAACTCTCCTCATATGGAAGCTGAATAGTGATAGAAATGTAGCCGTGTTAGTCTGGTGTCACTGAAACAAAAAACAGGACTATGTAGCACTTTAAAGACTAACAAGATGGTCTTAGGTGATGAGCTTTCATGGGCCATATATTGTCACAACCATATATACCAAAGGATACAATTAAAAAAAATGAACACATATGAAAAGGACAAATCAAATTTCAGAACAGAAGGGAGATGGGGGGGAGGGGGAAAGGTAAATATCTGTAAGCTGTGTCATATGCCTAATGATTTGTGTTTCTCTTCTTCATACTTTTTTCCAATTGTAATTTTATTTATATATATATAAATACTTATATATATATATATATATGAGCGTGCATCCCCGACAGAGAGGAGGGCAGAGGAGAACGGAGGAGGTAGAGAGGAGGTGGGGAGAGCAGAAAGAGACTGAGAGGCAGGAGGGGGAGAAGAGAAAGAGAGAGATGGAGAGAGAGGCAGGAGGCGGAGGAGAGCTAAGAGGAGGGGGGAGAATAGGAGGAGGGGAGAGAGAGAGAGAGAGATATGAAGCGAGAGACCAGAGGCTCAGGAGAGAAGACCGAGATAGAAAGGAAATAGAACGTGGAGGGGAGACCCGAAAATCCTGTCTTATGACAGGCTGATTGGTTAGTATGTGCATAAAACTGAAACAGAGCTTCATGAGGTTCAAAATATAGTCCCTTTTTACGTTATGTTTATATTTTGCTTGCCTTCTCAGATCAGTTTCCAGGACAATACAGGAAACAGAAATACCAAACCACTGCTTATCAAAGTGCTGTCCACACAGCATCTGTGATAGAAGAACCAGTTCTCAGCTGACAAATGGCCCAACCCTGCTTCCATTGAAATCAAATTTCCAAAATTGTCCGATAGCACTGGGCCCACCTACTGTAAACATAAAAGCAGCAAATAAAACCTATTGCTTTGCATTGAATAACTGAGACCAAAACCTGGCCCTTGCTCTGAAGTGTGTTTACCCAAATATTAACCAAACTTTGAACTCTTTGAGGCATGCCCATCACTAATAGTAATTTTTTACCTTCATATTCCCCATTCTCAACATCGCTATATTCTTCCTCCAGAGGCCTTTGTAGCTTAGGGCTAGATTGTGCAATTTTTGCATATATTGGTGAGCATTCTCTTAGACTGACAAAGTCGTTCAATGGGGTGTAAAATGAACAGCTGCTCTGGGCAGGTACTTATCAGTGTGAGAATTACACACTGAGTGCTTACATTGTGCATCAAGGAAGATTTTTATATCCCTTTCACTACTGTAAAAATTAAAAACATACCCATACTCCTGTTTTACTCTAATTACTGTTTTATTTATGTGGTACAACAGCAACTGTGGTGGCTTTGCAGGCTGGTACTCCATTGCAGGAAAAATCAATGATGCAGACCCTATTCTGTCTTGTAATGTTAAAAAAAAAAACCCAAAACAACAACATGTACCAGTCCTGGAACCTGGGTGCGCCTGTGTCCCTTTAGGGCCATGGCAGCTGCTATGCGGCTGTAGACAGCTGCGTTCCTCCTCCTAGTGCGGAGATCATGGACGTTGGGGGCCTGCCCCCAAACCC